ATACAATTCATTATAATTCTCACAGATCTCAGTGTTTCTCAAAAGGCGTTGCCACTCTCCTACGACGATGACGTAATGAACAACAGGAGAGACTACCCAACAATTTGTAATTTTTACATGTAACTACAAATAATGTTTTTTCAATAATCCCAAATGTCAAATCAAATTATAAAAAAAATTATGAAAATGTATCTATTACAAATAATTGAGTAGTGTACACATGCAAGTGTACCTGAAATACTTACGGTTGACAAATATGGCAATCACAATCCAGGATGTCTTCATATCGGTGCTTCATTGGCTTCTTTCCAATTCCGGGATAGGCTCTCTTGATGTCTTCCAAAAATTTTCGAAGTTGTTCTTTCACCGTTCCATATTCATTCATAATATTTCTTCTGTACATCCATTCTCCAATATATTGACTGGCATATTCTATGCTGTTGCTTGATCTCATGTAGTCCTTTAAATCTCTCCAAGCTCTCTCTATGTGCTGCGTATGGTTTCTAAATGGTTGCTGTCCTGGCACGGGTGGTGGTCCATTCCATAACGTGTCCAAACATTCTTCATTAAACGTGTCAGCTGGCATCCATATTGGTTCCTCTTCTTTGGGTGGATTAATAAAATTTTCTGAATGATTAATAATTCCATGTCCATTAAAAATTACGTCGCATTCCCCATATGCTCGCCAACAATCCGTGCAAATGTAGCTTTCTTCATCTATACATTGCTGCAGAATTGGTATCATTGTCTCGGCATCGCGTCTTTCCACTATTACTGCAAATCTCTTCTTTGTCGTCCGGCTTATTCCACCTAATACCCAAATATGTCTCCATGTGTTTACTCTCCCAACGTTATACTTCCGTTTGAAAAGGTGAGTTTCATCCACTTCAACGACGTCTCCAGCACCTCCTATAGGCACATAGTCATGCCAGGCATAGGCACAAGCACAAGCTACATCCCTACAGAAACCGTACCAGTACCAAGCCGTTTCTAGAGATACAGACAAAATTGCCTGAACACGTATAAGTAAGTGGCTCTCGTATAAGCCACATAAATACAATACTGACAATTTTATCTGCAGTCAACTCACCTTTCAAACGAGTTCTCGCAAGTAAAGTATTCTCCAGTGGACCAAATCTCTTCTTCGTAGGATGGTTATTACAGCAGTATCTCCAACCATGCCTTGCCGTATCGGTTATCATTGTAAGGATTCTGCCACAATCTGGGCAATTAGCTTCATCACGTCTATTCGGAATTATTCGAAAATATTCTAAAAATTTTATTCCTTGTCGATGTTGTGCTGCCTTCTTTTCGGGCGTTTCAATGCCTTCCAAACCTAAATAGGAACCTACAGTAAAATAATTAACTTGACCCTGCATAAAATCTGCAGGATCCATTATTATTATTAATTACTAAAAACTAAAAAATTTTTACAATTAATATTATTAACTATTAATACTAAATACTATTAATACTCCTAATACTTTACTATATTAATACTTATAAATACAAATAAGGATACAACACTAATAAGTCGCTAGTCGCTAGACAGATTTAATTTTCGTTTAGAGAAGAGAATATATTACGCTCTATACTTCAACGAAATTAATAGTAGACTGATTTCTATAAATGTATATATTCCCGAAAACAATATCTGTAACAGGGTAGGAGAACCTTTGACCAATAAGGGCGTTTAGATTTGGCGGATATGAGCACCGTGACGTAACATATGGATATGTTAGAATAAGGGAATTGGAAAATTTGTCTCAGCCGTGGCAATGCAATGCCCATAGATAAGAACAAGGCAATGCCATCACCGCATGGGACAGTCAGCCGGATTAGCGCGCGGTGTAGCAATTAGGCGCGCGTACGCTACTTCCAGATGAGTTTCTGCATCGGCAGGATATACACTGTGTCCCGTTTAAATTTTCTAAAATGGGTAATTTTTTTATTATCAATTTTACAAAAAAAAGGTATTCATTATAAAAAGTTCTGCTTTTTGAAAAAATGATATTAAATTTATCACATTTGCGATAGCATATACAGGGTGGCCAAAATTAAAAAATCAATAATCAAGCGTAGTACCTACGTCAATGAGTTTTCGTTTTCCGGCAATAATGAAACAAAATCTGATCTTTTGCGGAGATTTTTTAGGATCTCCGCAAAAGATCTACAACATTACCAAATTATTTAAATAAGACAATTTGAAAAATATTAAAATTGAACAAATTTCGGCTTTACAAATTTATACTTAACTTGAGGCCAGGCGATTTTGATCGGTGATTCGAATTTAGTTCTTTGATACAAGGAGAGTTAGAAAATGATCCTTTTAGAGAAATATTATTTTTTTCGACGAAACAACGGTCAGTTCCAATAGGACAGTGATTTCTCAAATGGTGTAGTGATGTTAATCCTAATTTTACTATTCGGACATGTGATCAGTACTCATTTAAAACAAATGTGTGGTGTGGGATTTATAAAGATAGAGTAATTAGACCATTCTTTTTTCATGAAACATAAAAAATAGTGAACATACATCACAGACGACAATAATTGTTGTACCAACAGGATGGTGCACCATGAGACATGTACAAGAGATGTAAGGCAATATCTAAGTAATCTTTTTAATGGAAAAATAATTTATAGATATTCTCACATTTTCTGGCCCGCTAGGTCACTGGATCTGACCTTCTTCGATTATCTTTTATGAGGGTATGTATTTAAAAGGTATACCTGCAAGGGCCTTTTCAAAATATTGACTATTTGGAGAGAGTAATCAGGGAGACAAGGGAAGATACAATAAATCCCGTCATTATTAGAAATGTTTCAAAATAATTTTTCACAACAACGACCACACCACACCTGTATGGAAAGGGAAGGTGGATATATGGAGGCTAATGTGCAATGACGAGAAAATACATTAAAATTATTTTCATGTAATGTTTACTATTGAAATTGTTTTGTGTTTTTGAAAAAGAAACATTCATCAATTATTATTGAATGTAATTTGTAGGCTTGAAAAATATCTTTTTTCAATATTGCTGGAAAACAAAGTCTCTTATTCACGTACTACTACTAGCTAAGCTTAATTTTTCATTTTTGGCGACTGTATATGTTATGTCAAATGTGAAAAATTGGATAGCATTTTCGATTTGATCACACCTGAAATGCGTAAATACAACGTTTCATTATAGTTTTTACAGGATGTTCACAAAATATGTGCAAACTTCTAAAAATTTCGCTCATTGCAGTGTCCTGAAAAAATTTTCTAGGTATTTTTCATAATTTCATAGTTTATTTATTTCATAAAAAATTTTGCTTGAATTTAAAATGAGGTTGCCATGGTGAAACTTAACAAATGATTAAGTACGGGGGTGTCCAGAAATAAAAAATAAATGTCACGAGAATAAACTACCTTTATTTGTAATATTACTGAAAAGTGATATTTTGCAAGTCTTGCAAGAATGTTACTCGAGTACAATTCGCACACAACATTGGTTTAATTTTTTACAGAACATAATAAATTTGGAAAAAATGTATTTTGAAAGCAATAATGTATGTATATACATTATTGCTTTCAAAATAAGTTATTTTTCAAATAAAAGATTAAAAAAAACACATGAAAGTATTATTTATTTCCAGTTAAACAATAAAAAAGAAGTATGAAATTCCAAGTCCAAAAATTTTTTACTCGTTTTTCGAATAATATTCTGAAATTTTGGCCTCATGGGTATTTGGAGGCGTAGAACACGGTGAGATTGCCGAAAAATAAGTATTTGCATGCTTTCGCCGCCCCCTGACGTGATTGCCGCCCCCGGGGGCGGCGACGGTATAGCTGATATAGGCAATCGGTAGATCATCGTTCACTATGCCTCCATACCAAATTTCAGATTTTTTCGTCGATTCTGAACAAAGTTAGGGACCAGACCCCGGAGCCGTAATCATAAAAAAAAACGACAAAGTCCAAAAATTTTGTACCACCCTTTTTGGAACAAAAATCTGAAATTTGGGCTACAGGGGTAACTCGAGACGTAGAACACGATGAGATTGACGAAACAGATGTATCTGCATGTTTTCGCCGCCCCCGACGTGGTTGCCGCCTCCGGGGGCGGCGACGGTTCCCTGATAAACAAAACATTATTTAATATATAAAGTTCTTGATCTGCTAAGTTTGCTCATGTAAGACTACCCTGTTGATTATTAACAAATTAGCGTCTAACACTTGCAGATGTTTCATTTTTTAAAACGTATACGCGTGTAACATGAAGAGAAATGTTTAAGCTGGAAACCTACACATTAAGAAATGAAACAGATATAAATGAGCGCTTATAATAAAAAGTTCCAAGTGTGGACGCAGGCTGAACATAATACATTCTGCAAAATGAACAGCACATAATAATATCCATGGAACATTCACAAAATCATTTTATCACATTAAGAACTTGTTAAAATTGTGATTTGATTTATTTATGAAACTATTTTGAAACACAAGTATACAGGCCCGGATCCAGAGGGGGTGGCGATGTGGCGATCGCCACCCCCAAAGCACAACATTTTTTAAAGATCTTCAATTTCTCCAAACGACAACAGGCAGTTAGTCGATATTAATGCAAGTCCCCCTTCCTAACCTACACCTTACGTCATCAAAAAAATAACAACAACAACAATAATAATAATAATAATAATAATAATGATAAAGAAGTGCTTTGCGCCACCCCCAAAACCAGTCTCTGGATCCGGGCCTGCAAGTATAGCTATAGGTATAGGAAGATATAATTGGCAATAAGTATTCTTCTGATACAAAAATATATTTTTGATTGTACTATTGACAGCAGATAATATTTTGGTATAGAAAAAAATATATATTTATTGATATGTGTAAATTACAAGAGGCATATAGTACATATAATTCATAGATATATTTATAAGTCTTTTAATAAAGTCTTCTATTTATAAAGCTTCAACCATCACAGCGATTCCTTGACCTCCACCAATGCAAGCCGATCCAATACCAAGTTTAGCTTTCCTTCTCCTGGAAATAAAATAAATATTAATATTAAATAATTTTAATTGTTACACATTTAGAAATATTTTACCTAAAACCGTTTAATAAAAAATTAATAGGTTATGTTTTCCTACCTTAATTCATTAACGAGATGTCCAGTAATTCTGGAACCTGAAGCACCAAGAGGATGTCCTAATGCAATAGCTCCTCCATCAACGTTTAATATACTTAAATCTAAATTTAATTCTTTGGCACATGCCAAAGTTTGAGCACCAAAAGCTTCATTGATCTAAAAAAAAAAAATGAAATGAGAAATTTGAATAAAAATTAGTTAATAGAAAAAATACCTCAATTAAATCAATGTCATTCAATGACTTTCCTGTTACTTTCAGTAAATTTCTAATAGCAGGTGCAGGACCAATGCCCATTATAGAAGGTTCTACTCCTACTACAGAATAGCCCAGTATTCTTGCCAGTGGTTTCAAATTATGTTTTGTTGCAGCCTCTTCACTGGCTAAGACTACAGCTGCTGCTCCATCGCAGACACCCTAAAATTATACATTTACTAATAATAAATAATTTTATATTATGTCACAATAATGTTTATCCAACATAAGTGACTACTTGCTTAAATCCTGATCCAACTTAAAATCATAATTTGTTATTTAACTTAATTAGTCAGTTCAAGTCTATTTATGCAGTTTTTACAGCATTAATTTTCTTGTAATTGAAAAATTGGCAGTACTACTAATAAAAAGTTTTCATTCATTAAATTTGAATACTTCCTATTTTGGACACCAATAACTTATTTCGTTAAAGGTAAAAAATATAATAATTAAGTTCCTTACCGAAGCTGATCCTGCAGTTACTACTCCATTTTTTTTAAATAAGGTAGGGAGTTTCTTTAAACCTTCAATTGTAGTCTGGGGTCTTGGATGTTCATCAATCTCAAAATTTACAGTATCTTTTTTTACTTTTACCGGAATTGGGACTATTTCCTCCTTAAATCTTCCTGCGTCTTGAGCTACAGATAAAAGTTCTTTTAGATTTTAGTGCAGTCCTTATATGAAAATGTTAGATTAGACATAAATATGGCAAGAATTGAAGATCGACTATCGATAATGGAATGTTGCCTGATGATTAATATGTATTCACAAAGTCTCTGCCCCCATTTTAATTCTCTTTCATTTCCATGCTTTATATGGCTAAAGCATATGCCCGTTGCATTTCAACCCATTAATTTAAATACGATTGAGAATTTCGACATTGAGGGGGACAGTTTATTAAGTTGACTCCCATGATACTGTACAGGATTTTAATTAAATACGTCAACAAATTTAAGGGACAATTCTTTGAGTAATTTTAAGCCCAGAAGATTATATAAATATGGGTTCACAAATCAATAGTTTTTGAGATATCACAGTGTTGAAATTAAAAAAGAAAACACTTTTTCTGAAAACTAAAAGATGTTTGATGCAGAATAATGAAACTTAGGCTAATACTTACCTAGTTGAAGGTAAATATCTCCTAAATTTGAATATAAAAATGTATATCAGTGGCGGAGCTACCGGGAGTTACAAATAACAGAAGTTTCATCATTCTATATCAAATGTCTTCAGAGCCATTTTAGAAAAGCTCAATTTCAACATCATGTATTTCAGAAACTATCAATTTATGGATCCATTTAATATAACCTTTTTGGTTTAAAATAACTCAAAGAATCATTCCTTACCTTGTTTAATAAATGCACACGTTTTGCAGTAAAAATAAAATATATTCTTAAGAATATAAATTTTTGCTAGTTTATAGAGAATTTTTATGTTTGTGAGAGGTCATTGACATATAGCAACACTGAGCAGTATTCAGGAATAGTTTAAGATGTTTGAAACGTTTGCTCCAGGATTTGTTAGTCCTGACTGCTCTCCTGTCAAGTATTTTCTGAACTATTAATTTGGACAACAGGGGGATGGGTAAGATATCAAATGTGACAATTGATAAATAGAAAATGACAGAAGCTTTTCTTAACGTAAAAGAATAGACATTCTATCCATTTATATCCAGCCTGGAGTAGGTCATATATTTGTTTTACTTATTTTTTAACTTATCTCAGCCCTTTCTGAAGACGGAGGAATTAAGTGAAACACTCTATTTACTTGGGGTACTTTTCCTGAAGCCCTGAATGTTTGTGTACTTAATCATACAGAGTGTTCATAAATTATTACAAGCCATGTGACCAGTAATTTTGTTTGGAACAGTAATTTTATTTCCTTCATGTTCGCAATAAAATTTCGGTTAAATTAAAAATTATTAAAACGATAAGGTCAAGATTACATTAAAACACAACATTCTGTTTCACCGGCTGTGATTGGAGTAAAATTAATTATATCGACGCTTTAGTACGAAAACATGCAATCTCAGATTTCGGTTGGAAAACATGCTATTTCAGTTTGACTAGAAATTTAAATTGGCATGAAATTGGAATGATTGAAACCGTGCATTTATAATAAACTTTTCTCAAAAAGTAAGGAATATTAAAGATCTGAGCTAGCATGTTCATGTTTTCTAAGCTTAATTTGAGATAGCATATTTTCCAACCGAAATCTGAGATAGCATATTTTCATACTAAAGCGTCGATATAATTAATTTTATTCCTTATCAACGCGATTATCTGTAAATTATATAATTAAATATTTTGTGATAATTCTCATTGGCAATAAAAATAGAGTAATAGAATAAATAATATAAGGTCTATAGTACGCGAAGCACAAAGGCTCCATCTATCGCGCTGACTTCCACTATGCCATTCAAATGGCTACTACGGTGGAAGCGACCTGCTAAAATTTGCCAGGTACTTTATTGCACGAATGTCGCCTATAGAGGGCGAAACACAATGTAAGTCGTCAGTGCCGCGAAAAACAACTACTCCGAGGACTATTTGCCCCAACCGGCATTGAATTCAAGTCAAGTCAGCGCGATAGATGAAGGCTTTGTGCTTCGCGTACTATGTACCTCTTGTCGGGAGTTTACGAATTTTAACAGCTGGATCGTTCATCAGTTGCCCTACCTATGACACACTGATGAGGACTAATAAGTCGGAAACCGGTCTGTGCCTGGTGGGACCAGCTGATGAGCGATCCTAGCTGTTGTACTGGGTGTCACGAATGTAATTCAATGCCGGTAGGGGCAAATAGCCCTCGGAGTAGTTGTTTTTCGCGGCACTGACGACTTACATTGTGTTTCGCCCTCTATAGGCGACATTCGTGCAATAAAGTACCTGGCAAATTTTAGCAGGTCGCTTCCACCGTAGTAGCCATTTGAATGGCATAGTGGAAGTCAGCGCGATAGATGGAGCCTTTGTGCTTCGCGTACTA